TTCCGTAGCACTAGTGAATGCTAAAGAAGAGAAGGGACTGTTAAGCCCTTTTCCTACAGAATTCCTCTCCTGTAATGAGAAAGAATGGTTCATGATTTAGACTGAAATTTGGGATCTCTAGGTGTGTGGGTAAGTCACTTAGGTCTTTCTATGTCTCCATAGAAACACCAGGAAAACAGGCAAACAGAGGTACCTTTCTAGTCCGGGAAGCATAACAAACATGCATAAATAATAGCAGAGTGAAAAGGACACCAGAAAGGACCAAATATTCCCAAGCCCTACCGCTACAGCTGAGGAGATGGAGCTGACCACCCCACACTAGCATTGTCTGGAAGTAACAGAGTACAACAGTTGCAAGACTGTCTTGCTATGGCTTTGACTGCATTACAGAGTGACTGCACCACACATCAGTGAGAGATGTTCAGGCACTACATAATGGGAAATCCATATTAATAGAATTTTTAAAATGGAGGTTTTAATATTAAACAACATGTCTCGCTATAAATTGTTATAAGGTGTAGTTTTAAATCAACGATATATGAAATACACTTTTTCACTACGAAGAGTTTAAAATTTATTCTGAAAAACATTAATGCAAATAAAAGTGGAATTCCATGTCAAAATAAAAAATTTACTTCTCTCAGCCAAATTCAACCAATTATAACAATTTTGATAAGATTTTTTTAATTGTAATTTTTAATCAGTCTTTAAACAACCACTTTTATATGGATATTAATAGCTTCCTCTAAAACTGCTTGAGCATGTCACAGATAGGGGAAGATGGTGTTAAATTCTGAAAATACTTCAGACATTTTGAAGTGTTCCATAAGTTGGGTACTCCATAATGCCTTGCCCATCATACTGCTTTTATAGAAAGTCACAAAAGTTGCCTTTGACTCAACCCATTACACAGCCTTTTCTGTCCAAAACAGCTCATTTGTATCAACAATTTTATCCCAAATAATGCCAAATCCATTGACTACAACTGAAGAAACAATTTCCAATAGAACTGACTTCAAGATAAACCACAGGCTCAAAAGATCTTAGTCTCACTTAATATTTAGTTTTGTTTAACCACTTAACCCTTCTGTATGTATTACTGTGCTTATTTACAAAACATAATACACGTTGATACAATGACGTTTTCTTGAGGCAAAGAGAAGTGCACATGTTGGATAAGTTCCTACTGTATTTTCTTATATTAGACAGTGTATGTTGATTTTTTCACCTATCAGCCCACTTTCAATTTCGCATCAAAAAAATTTGTATTTTTGAAATGTGGACATGTTTTAAGATTTAGAATTATTTAAGTTTGTACGATGCTGTCCACTGTAAATCACTTTAAAGTTTATATGGAGTTGAGAGCTTTTCTACATTTTTACATTCATCTTTACACATTTTGGAATGTTTAGCAGGATTTATATCAGTTTACACACAGCATTTACATGGCCTCTCAGTTACACAAAGCACAAAACACCAAACTGAGTAACCTGGTCTTTAAAATATTGGCAACTCTAAGGTTACTTTATAACTAGGAATTATACAGGACAGTCCTTGATTCTGGCCACACTGCAGTTTTCTGCTCTCTCAGTCACACCAAGAAACAGATAGTAATTGTAATATTTAATTAATTCTAATTAATTCTAATCTGGATTTGCCAGTGGCCACAAAAAAGTTGTAGCTGTGTAACCAGGTAACAGCAAAAAATACTTGTTATAGAATTACAAGCTAAAAGGCTGGGAAATGTAGGAACCCTATTGCTCTGACCTGAAAGGCTGTAGCAATGCATTAGAATTTTATTCTTGAAGATATAGCTAGAGAAATAACTGAAACAGAGTTAGGTTAAAACACCCTTTGGGTGAAAATCACCTTGTCAAAATGACAGCTTGAGAGGACATCTGCCTCTTTCCTCTAAGTCTTCTGTGTCACATTCACTTAGACAAATTTGCAAACTATTTATATAAGCAGCAATGAGCATGCAGAAGTAGATGTATCAAGAAAAAAAAGTAGTTACTTGGCAAAAACAGTTAATTGAGTATCAATGCCGTGGAATTCAGTGGATGGAGCGATCCCCCTGCCTCCTACCATGGCAATAGAGTTGTAATATGTGAAATGGATATTTCAATATAACTAAATATTGGAAAAAATATTTTAGAAGTATTAAACTAACTTTGTGTCACTGATTTAGAAACATTAGTTACTTAAATGGCAGTTTCAGTGCATTTGGCCATGTACAGTTATTCACATATTTGCAGTTTCAGTAAAGAAGAAATATAATGCAAAATTAAACTCTAGTTGCATCTGTTGATAGGAAAAGCCTTTCACGATGAAAAGCAAAATGCTATCAGTATACGGAGGCATCTATGTTACTGCTAAGCATGGTCTACTCCTCATCTGCCTAAAAAATTAACGAATGTAGACAGGTATGCTCTCACCAACTGAGCTGAAGCAATTTAAGAAGGTGTAACTTTGATCTGTTAGCTACAGCCTTTAAACACAGACACTGACAATAGTATCTAAGTGGGCTTCTCATACTTTTCAACAGCTAATAAAAACATGTTAGCTTACATGGTCTTAAGTGGTAGTTTAAACTAACCTCTCTCAGTATGTCTTCAAGTACACTGGTAGAGGGGAGGGTGATGATGGGATTTTTAGGTTGTTCTAACCCCAATCACAGAAAAGTGCCTGTCCACATTACACAAGACTTTTTTTGTCAGGTGACAGATATTAAAGAAAGATTAGTCAAATGCTGAAAGAATGGATTAGAAAAGTCTCATTAGACATCTCCATGAGCTTAACTTCACAAAATATAGAAAACATATTTATGCATCACCTGTATTTAAATTTTATATTTTGTTTATAGTTAAACTGAAATTATTAGAAGAATCTTTATATTTTATGAAATTTAAGTTTATATATACAAAGTTCATCTATACAAAGCAACAGAGTTGTTCACTAAAACTTATGCTACAGTATATTCCATGCAGCGTCACTGCCACTTCAAGCAAGGCCAAAAATAATAGGATTTGTGGTACCGGTGCAGAAACCCTCCAAACCAGCCCTGGGGAAGTAACTTCAAAACCAACAGAAACCAATCAAATAAACAGCAAAACTCTAAGGCTTTGTGGCAAAGTTATGTACACAAACACACGAGAATTTTTAAAAGATTCCCACATAAATAATTTGTTTTCTATCATGGTATACAAATTACAGTACATTAATATAAAGTCACTTTTAAAACTCAGAATGCAAAGAATGAAGTATTGGGAAAAACAATTTATCACAATCAGCAAATACAACAGCAAATCTAATTTATGATTTCTTAAAATATAATAGTACATATATAGTGATGACAGAAGAAAGATTCTTCACTTGTAAATAAAACTTGTTCTCACTTTGTCCACTTCCTCGTTTTTGCAGGTTTATATATGGGTTGCCCATTTTTACCAAATCTAAACTGTGAAATTTATGAGCAGAAAAAAACCACAAAGTTGTAACACTTGTATACCTATATCAATAAAGATAAAACAGCACAACCTGCTGAAACCATTGTAAATATGATTCAGTCTGGCAAATTAATGCTTAAATAGATGATATATTTGTAAGATATATTGATACAAGTGTAACTGCAGGTTCTAGAGAAATGGTGGTTGCCAAACAGGAAGGGAAGGTTGGCTGGCTAACATACCTTGAGGGCTGGCTGTCCACACACAAGTCATAGATTTTTCACTAGCGATAGGAAATTTAGCGATATGCCAGAAATACTGGCATTCTAAATATACGCGACACCAAACAGTATCGTATTACATGACAGTATTTCTGCACTACCGCATTATCAGTGATGGAAATTCTGACCAGTACCTTGTCTTTTCATGGCTCTGTGTTCACCTCCACAGTCATCCTCTTATATGTTGGAGTGAGTGTGTTCGCCTGGTCTAGTATTTCTCCAGTATTTTTCATCCTTGTATAAACTGACTTTACAGATGCTGTATATATGCCCTTGAAAGGCAGTGTTATTTCTAAACTTAATTCGATCAATCTCCAGCATACCACTATGTTAGTTTGTCATAATTATGTGGTTTACTGCAACATCATCCTTACACAAAGTTAATACATCATCACATCTTCCATAAAGTTCATCACAACCAAAAAACAAACAGCATTTTGCCATGAGTATGTACCTGTTAGTCTGTTCAGGGGATAAAAAGGACAAGTGTTTTACAGCTGGGTCAGATTAGCAGATTAACACAAACACATGGAAACTGAACAAAAAATTGCAGCCTCAAGTAATCTCTTGCATAATCCAGTGTACGCTTTTACCACCTCTACTTGCCTTCTGTAGTCAAAGAGGTAAAGAATAAAGCCTGTATTTTACAACCTTCTGGGAATCTGCACAGCATCAATATCAGGACCACCTGATTCCTCCTGCATTCTTACTTTCCTCTCTCTTAGGGTGGCCTCATGCAAAATACAATATTCTCACAGCTGACAAGCTCAACACATTGCTTTTTATCATGCTGAAATGTCACTCTACTTAGGCTCCAAGCTCAACCAGATTTTCTAGCTCCTAATAGGACTGTTGGGAGAACATCCATTATAACATGGAGCCTCCAAGCCCAAAAAGACAGACGTTAATTGCCACACTACCTCGGTTATAGAGACATTTACAGAATGAAATTAACAAAGCAAGAAAGATACTTCTTCTTGGAAGTAAATCCATATGAAAAAAAAATCAATTAACTGCTACAAATGAAAACAAGCCAATAATTCACAACAGAACGCCTTGAAAGGAACATTACACATTAAGTGGCAGACACGGAATTACAGGATCAGGTAAGCTAAACCAAAACAGAATTTTCACTGAAAAAGTTAACCTTTTTTTTTCAGCTTTCAAAGCAGACAGCAAGTATTTTTCATATTGATCAGGAATAGCCTTCAGTTTGTTACTCCTCACTTACTTTTTCTTTTAACAAATCTCTCCACTAAAAGTGATGTCTTACCTTTGTTCATATCAATCAACTGCTGCTTCTTCTTCTGTCGCTCCAGTTTCTCTCGTTCAGCCTTCTCTTTTGCCAATTTGGCTCTCTTCGTTTTCTCCTCCATTTCTCTTCTTTTGTTGTTTTCTTTTAACGCCTCCTGCATTAGATAAAATGAACATGGGTGTCTATATACTGAGGAAAACTAGAAAGAATAACAAAAATAACCTTGTTTGCACAGATACTGTATTTATATCCAATGGGGGGGTGGGAAAACAGGGACTGGCACCCAGTGCTTCAAGCATCTTCAGAAACCTTAGAGGGAACATAACTTACCATAGTATTTGTACACATCAGCATTATTAGATAATCAGAAGAATGAAAATTGAAATAGCTTTGCATTTAGGATGAATGAAAAAGTTCCAAATTTTTTTAGCAGCAACATGCTTGTATTTTTTTTTACTATTAATACTGTAAGTCTAGCTTAAACCTGTATCTTGCTGTTAGGAGGGATGAGTAGGGATGAAGCCAAGTTCCCACTATAATGGACTTCAATTACAAGTAATTGAAACTCAGTTACTAAAATTTAAGCTACAATTCCTCAGACATTTTTGTTGAAATATCCAAAGCAGTCTGGATCACTTACATACACAAAACACATCAAAAGTAATGGAACACAGTTGAATTTATAGATTAAAATTCCAAATCTAAAGCCTCTGAGTCAACACAAACTACCAAACTAAAAACTGCAAACGTAAGAGAACATCCCTGGATTAAAACAACAACAAAAAAAATCTCTTCCCATGATCTTGCCTCCATCTGGTCTAGAAGATATCCTCCTTTTCCAAAGGAGGTTAATCTTGATTTCTTGCTGTGGTGGGTTGACCTTGGCTGGCTGCCAGACACCCACCTAGCCACTCTCTCTCTCACCCTCCTCAAGAGGATGGGAAGAGAATAAGATGAGAAGCTCATGGGTTCAGATGAAGACAGGGAGATCGCTCACCAATTACTGTCATGGGCAAAACACTTGAGGAGGATTAATTTAATTTATTGCCAATTAAAATACAGTTGGATGGTGAGAAACAAAGACAAAAAAGAAAACACCTCTCCCCCCTCCCCCTTCTTCTCAGGCTCAACTTCACTCCTTCATTCCCAACTCCTCTGTGCCCCCACACACACTCTGAGGGATGCAGCGGGGATGGGGGAGAATAGGGGGTTGCAGTCAGTCCATAACAGTTCCTCTCTGCCACTCCTTCCCCCTCACGCTTTTCACCTGCTCCAGCGTGGGTCCTCCCTGCAGGCTACAGTCCTTCAGGATAAACCTGCTCCAGTGCGGGTCTTCTCCATGGGCTGCAGGGAAATCCCTGCTCCAGCACCTGGAGCACTTCCGTCCCCTCTTCTTCTCTGGCCCTGGTGCTCCCAGGGCTGTTTCTCACACTTTTTCCCCTCACTCCTCACTGCTGTGCAACATTTTGCCCTTTCTTAAACAGGTTTTTACACAGGCACCACCAGCTTCACTGCTGGGATCGGCTGTGCCCTGCGGCGGGGCTGTTGTGGAGCCATCCAGAAGCAGCTGGAACCGGCTGTGTCCAGCACAGGGCTGCCCCAGCCTCTCCTCACGGAGGAGGCCCCTGCAGGCCCCCGCTGCCAGCACCTGGGCACGCAAACCCATTACACTTACCACTTCTTTGCACAAATACCTTCATAACTCCTATTACATTGCTTGCTCTCTGAAAGAAGAGAAATATTTGAATACCCTTAAGCTGTTCCCCAAGATCCTAAATTTCTCCTTAGTTTCGCCTTTCCTAAGATTCATTTATCATGAAGAAATTCACTGAGATCCATCATGATGGAATTTCACCTAATGTCACAGACAGACTTGATAAACGTCAGGGATAATTTTCTTATTTATATTCACAACAGCTACAAATTTATTGCTTCCTTTCCTCTCCAACTCACAGTATACTAGCATCCTCTACCTACAAGTACTGTAGGTCCAGGCTTCAGGTGATTTTGGGAGTCCCAGCACATCATGTCCAACAAGTACTAACAACCGTAAAGAAGATACTGGATCCAAAAAAGTCCAGAATTAACACGCACATGCTCATTAATGACGTTTCAGCTTAAAAGCTGAACAGTCAATACTTACTAAGCACAGGGCGTAAGATAAATGGTTTCCATGTCAATGTTTACTTTATTTCCTACACAATTTAATCATGCCTTAAAACTAGGAAAATCATTTATGTTCACAAATACAAGCAAAAAAGATTTCTTTGGGGATGTCTTTGTAAATATCCAAGACAATATATCAGTTATTATTCCACATGTAAAATTTCCTTTAAGAAATTTGGGGCAGACTCATATTACACACAGTTCAATATATTCCTCAGAAATTACATTTCAAATGTGTATAAATGAAGATGACTATTCACCTTACCGTATACATGCTAGGAAGGAACTACGGACAACGACTGTCACTTCCAAAACAAAATCCTATCTAAAGCACCTTTAAGGGTTAAGATTTATATAAATTATATCAGTATTTGGTAATCCAAGACTCCCAAATGCTCACTCAAGCAAGGGACAGCATATTTCAGTGTGCATATGCCATTTCAAAGAGTTTACTGAGGTAAAATACTACATAGAGCCCCTTCCATAACAGCTGAAGCTGTTTTGCAGAGATGCTGGATACCACAGCTACCAGTGACATTACTTGTGGACACACTTGAAAATTGGACAAAGAACTGCATTTGCTGTACCATCACATAACCAATTGCACTGAGAAACACCTTTTCTTTCAGAAAAGAGAAAAGAGAATTAAAGGAGAAAATCAATGTTTTATCCTTTCTGGTTTTGGACAGTTCTGTCTCTGCACATTCAATCACACTTGACAGAGATTTCATTTTACTGCAACCTCACTGGCTGTAATGAAAGTAAATGCCCACAATCTTATGAGAGAAAGCAAAGAAGAAATGTCATGGCTGAACTAGTAGCCCACTAGCCATTGACATACTATGATTAGATCATAGATTCTGTCACATTTTCTAACAGGAAGACTGCAGTAGACTGAACTAAACAAGCTCTAAAGTTATTCTATCTGGAAATTCACTTTGAGCCAGACTCTACAAGTCCCAGCTGAAGGGAGATTATATGAAAATACAGATTGCAGTTCATAAAATATGCTGGCTACCAATGATGATTCAAACAAAAGCCATTCAAAAGAAAGGTTTAATCTTCCTGAAGAATGGTAAGATAACAAAGTACTGATAACTGTGTGTGAGAGTGCCTATCTTCATCTACCTACACCCATCCCTTCATATACATGCATATCTACATACAAACAAACAAAAAACCCAAACCCCACCATTCCAACACATGCAGAACAGGAAGCACAAAGAGGCCAGATGGGCCTGTCCATTATTCTTCAAAATGCACATTTCCTAGTATTTTATTTTCTTCCAGACCGTAAATGCTTTTAGAGTATCTTCACATATAGTTTCTTTCCAGAGACTATAAAGGAAGAGTTGGGGACAGCAAGTAAAAAAATCCACTAAGTGCTAACCTGAAATACCAGAGCTTTTCAAAACAACCTGGTGCTACAACAGGTACAGGTTGCAGCAAAGGGGCATTAACACCTGGCACTTTCTGCAGCGGTCAGACTGGGCACTCTGCAAGGCAGGAGAGAGAAACCCCAGCAGGGCATCACACAAACACGCCTCTGGGGCTCCTGGTCCCTAGATTGGCCATTTCAGAACTAACACTGCAATGCAGCACTGCACACATACAGCTTCAGAAGCATTTTCATAACAACATAAAAGGGTTACTCTAGAGAGAGAAAAAAAAAAGGCATCTTATCCGCTCTTAGCTTTGCTGTAGTACTCCGGTAAGTGCTTGCTAACAGCCCTAGTATTTCTGATTAGTATTTAGTGGATTCTTTCCTGCCATCCCCAATTCTCTTGGACCTCCTCCTACCCATCCAAATAGTTTTATGCCACATTCCTTGAAATTTAACATACCTTCTTTTCATCTACATACCAATTCAAAATGAATATTGTGGGGGGCAAAAAAAAACAAGGATGATCTATTTGAATCATCACCATCATTTAGTGCATGCAATCCCTTTCCTTCATAAAGTATCTCAGAACCAAACCACCTGGAACATACTTGTTTGTTATTACTCTCCATCAGGCAGTCTGACTCTTAACCATTTCCTATTTATGTCATTTACTACTGTACATTTAGTCAGAGTTGGATGAAAGCCTGAAATAAATCATTTGCAAGAACATACTCCCAGATGTTTCAAGTTATGTGCGGAAAGCAAAATAAATATATATTCATCTGTATTTATAAACATACTTTATATTTGAATTAGTATTGCTAACAAATTTGATCATAGTTTTTCAAAGCTGTAAATAAAGGTAAAGAGAATTTTGACTCAGAGGTATAGTAGTTTCTATAGCATTTGCTCTGCCTGAATTATACCACCAATCCTTTAAGTTTCCTTTTCTACAGTTTTACTGCAAAGAGTTATTTTTCTCTCTCATGTGGCTTCGATTACTTCATTCTTTACTATTTCCTCACTTTCTAGACTTCCAGACTGTAGACGAGCCTAACAATTTCTAATACAAAGGCAACATGATTCTGCACCTGCCTTACCACGGTGTTATTTGGGCCCCACCAATCTAAAGTTAAGCCTTAAGTTAAAAGAAGTCTGGACATCATCTCATACTTTCCCCTCCCTTTTCTTTGACATACTTTTATACTCCTCTATACCTATTCTCTTCTAAACTCCTGAGTTTCAGTGGACTTCTTTTAATACAGAACAGTGCTATTTTGGGTTATCAGGTTATGCTTAAGTTTCGAATGACAGTGATATCCTTTCTGTGTAGGTTTGCAGGCTAAATTACCTAATCACTAAAAGGTAGAGATCAGTTTGAATACTAAAAAAAAAGCTCTGTAATTGGCATTGCTTTTAAAGGGGGGGGGGGGAATCAGCAGTTTTGTTACTGCAAAGTAGCTCAACAGTGACAAAGTACATACTGGTGTTTGTAGGTATACACTATGCAACTATATTTATTCCTTAATTAAAGGATAAAAGCAAACTAATATAACAGTTACCAATCAGACAAATGTCATAAAGCAAGAAGCAATCCACAGTTA